TGGTAAATTCCAGCACTTTTTTAAATTTTAGAGAGAGGGTTCGATTTTTTTTATCATTTCACACCATATTTAAAGCATTAAAACCACTAAGACACAAGAGGTTACTGAATGTGAAAGAATAAGACAAAAGGAGAAACATTATTTATAAATGAGAACAATAGACGAATAATAAAAAAGACAGTAAATAACAACTGATATGGTATTTACAATTTTGAAGATCAAAGTTGACTGGAAAGCATGAAGTTGGAAAAGCGTTCCACAAGCGAGAAGTCCGATAGAAGAAACTGTTAGCATAGAACTTACAGTTACATCTAGCCATTTCGACTGTAACTTGTTGTTGTTGCCAATCTAGTACTGCGCTTAAGTTCATAAAGTCTATATACGACAGCGGAAAGTTCATCAGAACAATTATCATGAAAATATTTAATATATATATAAGGCCTTACTTTATGTCCGTCAGGTTGGCTAACCTGAATTTTCATTCCTTTGTTTAGCCATACAAATAAACCATCTAGCTGAACCAGAATCCAATATTATGATTTTTTCCATTATTTTTCCTATTTCTATCTTTCTACGAATTTTAAATGTCAACATTATATTGCTGTGTTATAAACAACACACGAAGTTGTACGCAAGCGAGATTCTTTTCCAGAATTTATCAGTCAATTACAAAATATACTGAAAAACGTATTACCTTGAATAGACAATGCAGCCGGTGTATCCTAAGCTTCGTCAAGAGGGTAATCACTTTAAAAATTTCTTCACTCCCAAGTAAGGCGATATAGCCACTAAGACGCAAGGGGTTACTAAGTGAAGGAAATTGAGAACACCTTACCAGAAGAAAAGACAATAAGAAGAACAGGATTCAAGGAGACAGAAGATTGACGTTGAATTAATTTTTTTTTTTTTGTTGGTTGATTCATTTTTTACGGCTTATCAACCCATTGCGGGTTATTTAAAACCAGAAAATAATTTTGATTGTAAGAATTTTGTTTTTAGATAATATTGGCTTAGTGATACGAGTTTTACTAATTAACCCATAGGTGGGGGAAGGTGGATTTATACCTTTCCCAAAGGTATTTTTACGTAAGTGAATATAACGAACCAACTGAAATTGGAACTCGGCTCTCTGATTAACAATTACGAGGCATTATCTATTATATCACCTGCACATCCAAGCTTACAGTGCCTGGTATTCTCAAGCAGTCACCTATCTAGGTAGTGATCATGTTCGACGTTGCTCAACTTTAGTGATCGTACAGGAACAGGCGTGTCAACGTGATATAGCCGTAAGCACGTTGCATTTAAATTTTTGTAGATTGTATTTGAGAGGAAAGAAAGAACCTTAGGCGAAAAGTGCGAGAAAAGAAACCATTAGAATAGAACTTAAACTTAACAATTTCAACAGTAAAATAATGGGTTCTAACTGCCAATCTAGTACTGCGTTTAAATTCATGAAGTTGAAATACCAAAGAGGAAGGCTCATCAAAAGGATTTCCATGAAAATATTTGTATAAAATGAACCGGGAAACTATGTTACGGCGGTGGGGAAATTGATTGAAGCTGAGATGCCAGGTCCGGACCGATAACATTACAGATTATTTTTGTGATTTTGTCAAAAAACTCGAGATGTATATCAGAAGCAGTAATATTCAATGCACGGACGACTGGTAGACTTAGAAAAGTGCAAGGCTGTTTCGGACGAGAAAGATTCTCTAGTGTATGAATTTTGTACCGACCTACTTTAATTGTTTATCTTTTATTCTATTATTTTTTTTTAAGCATTTTACCCCAAGCAAAGCAGGAGTGTCACTAGTACGCAAGGGGCTGCATAGAATGTAAGTAAGAGAAATAACTGAGTATTGAAGGGTGAGGACATGATAAAAAGAGGAACGGAGGAGAATAAAATGAAGAACGGGAATCAAGGCAACAGAAGATGTCGATTGACTTTTGAAACAGTGCTTTGTCTTCACTTTGTTTGCACCTTACACCTTGAATATCTAAGGACTTTCCTTTATTTTATTCTTAATCAATACATATTAGCAGAAAAAAAAGAAGCTTTGCGCTGAAATTAATGATCTTTAGTTTAATTTCTTTTTACACAGGACGGAAAATGTGACACTGAAATCCGAATACCTTCTAAAAACTAAGCAAAGTATTAAGAAGCAAGAAAATTTCATTAGATATGAAGAAGAGTACTGAAATGTCAGTCCTCCTATACGGCAGTGAATTCTGAACAATTTTCTCACAGGTGAATATGAGACTTGATTGTTTTAGATTGATTCATTTTTTTTACAGCCTACCAAAGTCGAATTGTTTTAACAGAAAACATGTCACCGAAATCCAAAGACGCATAGAAAAAAACAAAAGATTTATTCCAAAAGCAAAATATTAAGAAATGGGAAAATTTGTTATATATACCGAGTGTAACAGCAAAATTGTCCAATTGTTAGATTAAGATTTGAACCGTTGTATCTCAGAAATGATTAAAGATATCTTACTGGATTTCTCCGAAGTTTTTATAACACTATTGGACTCTACTTTGGACAGTAAGTATGTATTTAGCTCTAAGTTGAAATGGTGACCCCTCTTGCTGTTGTGACCTCCTAATCCAGTTTTCCTCCAACTGTTCCCTCTTTTTTAAAACTTATTCGCCGTTCTCTAATGTTTCTTGAATGGACTTTGAAGATGGAAGCCAGATTATGAATGTTGGTACCATTACTGAAAACCTGAATGATCTTTTTCTTTTCACCATTGGTCAGTTGGGAAGACATAGTGGGGCTGACACAAACTGATTTTAACTTGTTCTCTTTCTAGCTGAATAACTCAAATGGTTTTTCAGTGAATCTTACGACAAATGGTGTCAAGATGGCTAAACGTCTTATCTGAAAACCTGGGAAAAGTTGCTCAATTAGTTTAGTGGTGTAGATATTAAACATTTTGCTGTTATACGATCTGGACAATTTGGACAATTTCCTCACAGATGAAGAAGAGACTTGATGCCACAGAAATATGGTTCTACAGAGAGATACTGAGAATACCATGGGCTGAACATGTGAGTAACGACGAAGTGTTAAGGAAAATGGAAAGAAAAAAAGCACTTATGCTTAGAATAAAAAAGAGACAATTCAAATTTCTACGGCACATACTGAGGAAAGAGTGTTTGGAGAATTTGATACTCACAGGATATATTGACGGCAAGAGGGACAGAGGAAGGCAGTGAATAACCCGTACCTAACGAGCTTGTGTAAATGGTTGGGAAAATAGTGACTAGGAAAAATAGCAAAAAAAGACAGTCGTTACTAAGAGTTAGCAGAGGACAGGAAGTAGAGGAGAGCTATGATCGCCCAAGTCCTGAAAGGATACAGCACATAGTTCTTTCTCTGCAGAAGCTTTAAAACCTAAATTAATTATAATTATGTTTATAAGGACATATTCAGTCAAGCGATGATGACGGAACAAGTCATTCTTACTTTCCATGCACAGCTTTCTTTCCGGTAGGTTTTCTCTTTTTTTCTGGACTTGAGTCAAACTAGGCTGAGACTGGTGTATTATTAAAACATCTTTTACAGACATGTTTCCATAAAACGTGTTTTGAGTTCACATGACTTCAGATTACTTTTTGATTAATAATAATTTTTTAGACCAACATACATGCCGTAAACAGCGTATATACGCATGCGTGCAATCAACAAAAGGGAAATCGACTGGCAACAAACGGACAATTTTCCAGTCTCTCTTCATGGTTGAGTTTTTTTTATGTGTCTGGTGTGTGTATGTAAGCACAGTTTTCGACTGTCGCTTGATTTCATTTCAGTTTGTTTTCTCATGTCAATTGATACCGCGTGAACCCATGTGGAAGAAGTGGGAACCAGGATGTGTGGGCCGACCGGTCGTGTGTGAGGGTAGTCATATTCATGACTTTTAGATGCCTAATACAAGGGTGGGGTCAAAAGAGTCGTGATGAAAGAGGGTATCAAAAAATCATTTTAAAGGTAAAAAAAAGAAGATTTTAAGTAAAGGAACAATTCTTTAAAGTCATTAATGTAACACCCAACATCGTCCCTAGGACATCCACTTTCTGAGAAGTTAGTAGAACGCGAAGAATCCCAGGTACAACCTAATTAGTATGCGAAAAAGTTTGCATATATCAAATATCGACTCGTATAAGTCAAAAATCAAAAGTACACTCGCGTACCATCATCATATCTTATCGTTCGGTTCACAATCTTCTCCGGACTTTTGAACAGAAGAGGTTCTCTTGTTTAGGATTGGGTTTCCGGTTCCTTCTAAAGTCTACTTTCACTCTATACTTCTAATGTCTCCGTTTAAACTATTAAATTTTAATTACGATTATATTTACTTTTTCTCAGTAGGAGTAGATAGGTCCGCCTATCATCCAGTTCACACTCCTCCACGGTCTTTTGAACAGTAGTAGATTTTTATCTCTTGTTTCCTTTTTAGGGTTGTGTTTCCGGCTCCTTCTAAAGTGTTTTTATTCTCTCATTCTCCTAGTAGCCCCTTACGTCTTATTGGCATTATTGCCTTGTTTGGGATGAATTCATTATATATATATATATATATATATATATATATATATATATATATATATATATATATATATATATATATATATAGAAAGTGCAAGGAATTCAAGAGAAGAAGTTGCTATCGAACCTAAAAAGTAAAACATTTTATTTAAACAGTCATAAAAGTTGGTTGGTTTTGTTTAGCGATATATGAACACCCTTATGGGTTATTTAATACCGAAATCTAAATATTTTGTACACAATTTTATTTTACTTTACTTTTTTTGTAGATAATAATGGTTTTAGTAATAAAGTCTTACTAATTAACCCATAGCTGGGGAGAAGGATTAATGCCTTTCCCAAAGGGTACTTGCGCGTAAGTGAATATAATGAACCCAACTGGAATTGGAACTCGGCTCCCCGATTAACAATTTCGAACCATTATCTAGTACACTACCCGCACATGCAAGCTTCCAGCACCTGGTATTCCAAAGCAGTCTCCCATCTAGTTAGTGACCAGACTCGACATTGCTTAACTTCGGTGATCGTAAGGGGACTGGTGTTTTAGCGT